TTGAATCATATATGTCTTTATATGGATTATTTTTATTCAATTGTCTGCGTTTTTTAAAACCAGAGAATTATCCAGTTCTATACTTCCATTCTCAATATTTAGAATAATTGGAAAAACTTTACGGTTTTTTCTTTTCATTTGCTATAAGGAAAGCATGATTCGTCGCATAGTTTTTCGTCGTCTCTTTAGGGCAAGCAGAGTTAAGCAATTTAACTGGTTGATGGTCATAATGTGGCCCAAAATATGACCTTTGTCACCAGTCTTAAGTCAAGTTTGTTCAACTTTTTTCGCCCTTAAGTGATGTTTTTGGCTTCCTGACTTGGTTAGCTAGCTTTTACGCTTTGTTTCAGCTATGGACTCTAAATTTTAATTATGGTCACAGATTAGTGCTAATTAATTAGCTCTTAGTAGCATTAGTACAGCATTTTATGCTCTTAAGCAGTCATTTTGTGCAGTGGAACTCATAGAAATGGTGTTAGAAAGAAAAATAATCCGGACAAGACAATTTAATCAAATCCACTCAAACCCAAAATTTGACCTTTGACCTTCGTCACCTTTGAACCACTCTTAAGCAAGGTTTGTTCAACTTTTGTTGCTCTTAAGTCATGTTTTTAGTTTTCTGACTTGGTTAGCTAGCTTTTAGGCTTTGTTTCAGTTATGGACTCTAAATTTTAATTACAGCCACTAATTAGTGACCATTGACCTTTGTCGGCTTTGAACCGCTCTTAAGCAAGGTTTGTTCAACTTTTGTCGCTCTTAAGTGATATTTTTGGTTTCATGACTTGGTTAGCTAGCTTTTAGGCCTTGTTTCAGTTAAGTAGCATTAGCACAACATTTTATGCTCTTAAGTCATGCATTCTGTTTCTTAGTGTTAAGTATGAAATGTTTGCAAGAAAATTGTGGATGGATATTGAATTTTAACTGGGAGGGTTAGGGGGGGGGGCGCTCCCAGGTATATGCACAGGTTACAAAACTTAAGACTTTCCTTTCCAAAATGATCTAGGGGTAAAATATGTGTTGTAGACCTCAAACCTTTTGGACTCAATATTTTGATTAAATCTCAAAGGGCTCCCGGACTCGACCAGATACATTCCCTGAAAGTCATGAAAGGGCTACTCAATGAAATGAAATGGGCTTTAACGTCCTACTGTTGTGCACCGACTGGGATAATAAAGTCGGGCATACGCCATACAGTGTCCTACTTTTATATATCGAATTCCAACTGGCTGGGGATCTTTTACATGCATGCCAATGTGTACATGGGACCTTGGTTTTTCATCCCATCCGAATGACTGCCCCACTGACAGGGGGAAACCACCCGGAAAATCCTGAGAAACTTTCGCGGCCAATACCAGGAACGAACCCGCGACCTCCAGGCTAGTGAGCCAGCGTCTTACTTACTTAGCCACCAGGGCTCCAGGCTACTTATTGTTATCTTAGTTCACTCCCATTAGTGCTACATAAAGTATGGTTCTCCACCATCATGTCAAGCGACTGCTTTTTTCGACTTAAATATACACTGAAATATTCGACTTGACGAGGTCACAAAAAAACCCTGTCTCGTCCAATACCTCCAGCCCCTGACTACAGGCCTATGTAGGATTCTATTCACTTAGAAGACGGGGCCAAAAACATTACTCTCCAGTTAAGTACATGTATCACCTAAATACCTAGATCATAAGACTACTTTTGCCCGAAAAATCGGACTTTAAAGTAGTTTGGAGGGACGGGGGGTGAAGCCCCTGGCTACGAACATGATTGGGCTATTCTATATTACCTTCGTTCACTGCCACCTGTGCTTAATATTGAGCGACTGGTTTTATCAACTGGGATATTTGATTGTTTTTTCGCCCGGATTAGTCAACTGGTTTTATTGACTGGATTATATGACTGTTTTTTTCGACTGGATTATTCGACTGGTTTTGTTGACTGAATTATTCGACTGGTTCTGTCAACTGAATTATTTGACTGATTTTCTCGTCGAAAAAAGTCAAATATCCCTGTCGATAAAACTACTTTCTTGTAGCCTCATCAAGACGATACAGCCAGTCAAATATCTCAGTCAATAAAACCAGTCAAATAATTCAGTCGATAAAACCAGTGGAATATCTCATTCGATAAAACCTGTGGAATATCTCAGTCGATAAAACCAGTGGAATATCTCAGTCGATAAAACCAGTTGAATATCTCAGTCGATAAAACAAGTCAAATACCTCAGTCAATAAAACCAGTCGAATATCACAGTCGATAAAACCAGTCGAATATCTCAGTCGATAAAACCAGTCGAATATCACAGTCGATAAAACCAGTCACTGAACCTGATGGTGAAAAACTGAAAACAATACTCTGATGGGAGTAAACTAAGATAGTAAAATGTAGCACAGTTGTCTTTAGATAAATCCACACACATGCATGGTCTTCATCCCAGATCAAGTTGACAATGTGCTTTTGACAGTTATATGATGAGAAGTTTTCTTTCCACTGCGCTCAGTCGCATATCTGAGTCGATAAAAACAGTCGTTCAATAATAAGCAGCAATGGCAGTGAACTAAGATAATATCGAGTAGTCCAGGCATACCCATAGCCATAGCTGTAAAAGAGCCGGTTGCACCTCCCTCCCCTGCCAAATAGTTTCAAATTCGATTTATAGGGGAAAATTAGTCTAATTAGGTATTTAGGGCCGACGATAGTAGAAAAAAACAGTCAAATAATGCAGTCGAAAAAAAAACCAAGCAGATAATTATTCATCGAATAATCCAGTCGAATAATCCAGTCGCTCAATATGATGACGAGGAAAAACGTAAAGCTTGACTATTAAGCAGTGGTGGCAGTAACTAAGATTACTATGGTGTTCTATTTCGGCCGCGTCGCGCGTCGCCCTTGAAGAAAAGCCGCCCTTTTCAATGTTAAGCTATAGGGGAAAAAAAACGACGTCGGCTTTTCTAAGGTGATGAAATGCGCATGTACCAGGAGAATTCATTTGCAGTTTATTTGCCGTTTGGTATTTTATCTTCAATACATTGATTTACATTGGACACAAGGAACTGCCATTAATATCCTTTAAATAACAAAACATTTCTATAATATCCAGATTATATGTAATATTTTATATCTCTGTTCTAAACTTAAAATCGTAAAATCTAGTGTGAATGAGTGACCTCGTGCTGTCTGCAGTAACAGCCATACACTATAGTAGTTAAACACACGATGACAGGGTACTGATAAAGTTGTGGGTATGGTGTTTTACAGGTTCTGAAGTACACTTGTACAGACAGAATTAATATGAGAATATCCGAAGACGAATATATTAGCAAGGGGGGGGGGGGGCGGTACTGAGTGGGGCATACGCCCGGGGCGACTCTTCTTGGGGGGGGGGGACAATTTATCTAAGTGCCTTCGCTTCTCCTAAACATGTGTAAACCAGGACATATTTCATCAAACGGAGGGGTAGAATTATGATTTTTCCAAGACATATTATAGGGTTTTTCGATCAAACGGAAAGTTGACAGGGAAATAAATATAAAAATTTTAATAAATTTAATGAATAGTTATTTAGACAAGGTGTTAAAAGTATAAAAGGTGATATTTTAAAATTTATTTGATCATCAAAATTCAACTGAGCAAAGACACTGAACAAAGCAGTTACAGTATGCAAGGGTGGGGGGCGTCACTGAGACGTTTGCCCTGGGGCACCACATAGGCTGTTGAGGGCCCTGCTAGTAGCTGCCTGTGTTGACTAGGTTAACTAGTGCAGAAGTGTCGAACCTAATCTTGGATTCTTTCAACATCGATCTTAACCTGATTACTTTAGGGTTGCTAATATATTCGTCGTAGGATATCCACAATAAAAATATTCTCGTATTAATTCTGTCTTGAGAACCTATAAAACAACTGATGTAAATAACGGAAACCATACCCACAACATCGTTATCTGTACTTTCATCGTTTGTATATTACTGTATCTGCAGACAGCAGGTCACTCTTTCACACCAGATTTTACGATTTTAAGTTTAAGAACAGAGATTTAAAATATAACATATAATCTGGATATTATAGAAATGTCTTGTTATATAAAGGATATTAATGGCAGTTCCTTGTGTCAAATATAAATCAATGTATTGAAAATAAAATACCAAACGGCAAATAAACTGCAAATGAATTCTCCTGGTACATGCGCATTAGGAAAGCTAGGCGACACGACGCGAATTGAACACCATAGATTACAACATGTAGCCTATTCCTCTATTAAAGTTACAATTGCATATTTTCTAAGAAAGTCAAAACATAATTATTTCTATGTGTTTTGCTCAATAGGTTGTCAACTCACTAGGCTATTATACGATCATAGGTGTCATTCTCACACTTAAAACTCATTTACACCGGAAATAATAACACAATTACCCCCCTTGTTTTCTATTTTCCGCCTTGGAGTAGTTATCTTTAAACGTTTGAATTTGAAGATGGAAATGATATTTTTGCCAATTTCTCAACTGGCAATATAGGATTAATAAGATTATTCTTTAACAAGGTACGTAGGACTGTTTATAGATACCATCTATTTTAAGGCTTTATTTTAATCAATTTTAAAAATATAACTTAAAAATATGAAATTGCAACTTTAATGCCTCCACGTCGTTGTTTTTATTCCGAAGCGACAAGATACTAGGCTGTCATCAGTTTTACACAGACTAAAAACAAGTTGTTTATATTAGTACGGCCATCGTTTTCAGTCGATGACCTCAGTCGTTGACCCTTAACCCTATATGACGACCTTACTAGCAAAGAGAGGTCAACAGGTTGTTTAGGGGATTGCTATTGAAGGAAAATCTCAATAAAGTTTTGATTTCAACTGTCAGATTTGAACTTGGGGGAAAATAAACAAAATAGACAAAAAACGATGTAATCATATTTGAGTTAGTGCGTTTTTTATTTCAGTCAAACAAACTATTCCCAAATTTTAGCCCAACCATCGACCGAGTTTATTGACTGGAAATCCTAGTGGTACTTAGGGGTAATTGAAAAAAAATGGAGTCGATGTGGGTTTTTGTTTTGGTTTGGTCCACAACATTGATGAATGTTGTAGTAAGCCGACCTGAACAAGGTGTTTGGAAACAAGATTATAAATTAGGAAAGAATGAGGTCGGTATTTACATCATGAAAAACACAACAAAGCAAATGTCGAATGTCGTAGATCTAGTAAAGTAGCCTAGAACGTATGTTATTTTATGTGCCAGTTAATAATAGCGTGTACCAAGATGTTTGGCTTAATATTTGATTTTAAGCGGAAAAGTAGGTATCGAATTACGTTTGACCGTACCTTTACTTTTGTTGGCGGGTGGTGTAACTTGGCGGGAGATGTTCGGGAGAATGTTGGGCCTGTGGAATATGACAATTGGACCCGTATCAAGTGAGTGGAACGATTTTTTCTAGAATTTTAAAAAGTTCAAATATTTCCATTTCTTTACGTAAGAATATTCCAACATAATTTTACGATTTTATGACACTTTAGAGAATATTCTATTCATAAAAAATTCAAAACCGAATTGTCATGGACGTAATCATGCGTTAAATTGAGAATTAAGTAAAAATTCAGCAAACAACGGACATGGCAATAAACCGGAAGTTGAATATCCATCATGGAAGCCTATGGCGAGCGAGCGCTGTAGGCTAGCTATTTGTTTTCATTCCGTAAAAATGTGCTTATTCTGTCTTTTTTTTTACATAGATCGGTTACAACATGACTTAGAAAATAAAACTACCCATGTTTATAATATATTAATGGTAAAATTTTAGCCGATATTATTCGATCTGTAGAAAATGGACCGAAACCGACCCGAAGAAACGGCATAAATAAAACAGTATGAACGCACGTTTTTAAAAGCAGAATTTGTATTAACAAAGAATAACTCACATAGACACTAAAGTGAAATGTTAGGCTAATTTATTATTACTGATATATGACATAATGTCATGCGATATTGCGAGTAGGCTGTCTTTTTTAAATTATAAAAATAATATGCTTGTCACTAGTAGTATCAGATTAGGTGGGTATGAAAACTAATCCTTTGCACTAGTTTGTTTAGTTTATTTCATTTTATTTATTTTTTCTATGCCACTGTTTACGATAGACTCTGAAGCAGAGGCCTCATGCGTTCAGTGACCAGACTATCTGTCATATCAAAAATTATTACCTCAACTAGTTGATAAAAAAAAGAAACAGCTAGCAAAAAACAATTGTTGTTTGAAACTTTCCAAATATTATAATATAATTTTTTTATATATCTAAAAAATATCTATTTATTTATTTATTATTATATAATACCATGTATTGTTATCATTTTATATAAATAACCAATATCTATTTATTTTATGTATTTATTTATTTTTTATTTATTAAGAATTAAATTGGATTTAACTGAATATTTCGTAGGATGAAATCATAAAAGCCTTGTTGTAATTTTACTATTTTATATCTATTTTCAGGTACTGGTATAACAAATCCGTTGCATTAAAAACAAATTTTACATTCTTACAATTTCATGTTTCATAAATGTACATTTTTTCTTACTTTTTTTTTCAATTAAAAAAAAATTGTTAACTTTAAATAAATCATATTAAAAGTATTATGTGTTTAGGTTCAGTTTCCAAGGAGTAGGGTCAACTGCCCAACCTAATGGATTTTCTCTGCGGAATCCCCACTGCTAAAGACCCTTACTGACAAGGAAATTATTGAATTAAAACAGTGGTATTTGTTAGTCCCAAAATGACCTAGTCTGAGTCAAGTGCAGTTAAAACCCTCTGCATCCTTCTTTCTATTTCTCCATATATTTTCTTTTCCCCTGCTTGAAATGCATATTTTAGGATTTGTGTGATGGGAGCAAATGTTTAAATAGCAAACAATCGTCAAATTTAAGCCTAACCCTGTTCATTGGTAACCACTTTTCCTGAAAAAAGGGTTCTTATTTGTTATCTGAATGATTGTGAATTTAATAAGGAGCAACGAAACTTATTCTACCAAGTTTCATGTAAATTCATTGAAAAATAAATTTTTTACATTGCACTGAAGTCAAATTACCACTTTTTGGACCAAATTTTGATTTCGGACCGAAAAAACAAAATCAATAAAAATTAAATATTAAAAAAAGTATGAGTCCGATTCTAAAAATTGAAACGGTTTTGAAATTCTAATGTTTGGGCAATTATTTCTGCCATGCTTCAAAGCAATTGCTTAAAAAATAAAATTTGGTTGGTACATGCTATTAATAATAATAATAATAACTAGAACTGCGACGCAGTAATGACGGGTTTCACCGGTGCCCCGTTACTCTTGAACATATGTCACTTCCGTTACCGATGAAACCGTTAAACAGGTTTCCATATAAGCATTCACATATCAAATAAAATGTACTCAGAATCAACCAAATCCAGCAATATCAATTCATTGTATACATTTGTTACGTGTAAGTGATCCTGACAAAATTACATTACTTCCGGTGATAATGAAAATGTTAAATTAGTTCCATGAAATCATAAATGGCATCAGGCATCACATGGTGAAAATTTTATGAAAATCAAATAATAATTGACACTTTTATAGACCAAAAACCTTGAAAATTGACTTGTAGAATATTGTCTATTTCTCTGCAATCGTAAAAGTTAGGAACCATTTTGTGGTATCTGTATGATCGTATTGGTTCATTTTATTTGTTGATTGCAATCAAATGTCATAGATTTAAAAACATTACAAATCAGAGTCATTTGAATAAAATATGTTTTGAAGGCTATAAATGCAGTTTTTGCCCATATGACGCCATTTCCGATGACACTGAAAATGTAAAATTGGATCCGCCCAGTCAAAAATGGCATTAGGCACCATATGGTGAAAAAATAAAGAAAATCGGATCATAAGTAACTCTTTTACAGGCAAATTAACATGAAAAGTGACTCATGCAAAATTGCCTATTTCTCGGTAACTGGTAATATTACAAACTAATTTTGATATAAATTGTCATCGTGTGGATTAATGCTACAGGTTCGTGAAAGTTGTCAAGAAATATTTTAAAATCTGAATGCTTTGTAAATAGCTCATTTTTACACCTTTTTTCAGCTTTAAATCAAAATGATGCAAACGCAAAACCGAAATAAAAAAAATAAAACAAAGCAAGACATATTTTACGTCTTTAGTATGAGCATTCATCTTGATCTATTAAATTTGTAAACATTAATATTTGCTTTTTAAAAGACCTTTCGACACGTCAAAATTGAAGTTTTCGGCAAAATTACGTCACTTCCGGTGCCGACAGAAACTTTTATATGTAGAAGTAAGTTGAGAATATGCACCAGGTGGGCTTTTCTTTTATACAAATCAGGCAATAAATAATTTACCCAGAACCCATACACTGAAATTAAAATGCGAAAAATCTTAAAAAGTGATCCTGACAAAATTGGTTATTTCTCGGCAAGGGAAGATGTTAGAAACAATTTTGTGATATCAATATGATCGTATTGATTGATACTATTTGTCCATAGCAATCAAATATCATAATTTTACACCAATAATGAATATCGCTTACTTCAAACAATTACTTGTTTTAGAGGCTAAAAATACACTTTTTGCCAAAGTGACAGTACTTCCGGTGATAATGAAAATACTAAATTGCTTGTATGAAATCGTAAATAGCATTAGGTATCACACAGTGAAATCTTTATGAAAATCGAATAATAATTGACACTTTTATGGACCAAAAACCTTGAAAACTAACATGCGGAAAATCGCTTATTTCTCCGCAACGGAACAAGATAGAAATCATTTTGTGATATCTATATGATTGTATGGGTTCATTCTATTAGTTGATTGGAATTAAATATCATAATTTTGAAAACATTACAAATCAGACTCATTTGAATTAAATATCTGTTTTGAAGGCTATAATTACATTTTTTGCCCAAATTGAAAATGTTAAATTGGTTTGAACTAGTCAAAATTGACATTACGCATCAAATGGTGTTATTTTTATGAAAATCCAATAATAATTGGCTCTTTTACAGGCAAAATAGCGTAAAAAGTGACTCATGCAAAATTGACCATTTCTCGGCAAATACTCATATTACAAACTAATTTTGACATAGATTCTCTTCGTATGGAATAATGCTACAAGTTTATGAAAGTTGTGAAGAAATATTTTGAAATATGAAAAGCCTGAATGGGTTGTAAATACCTCATTTTTACACCTTTTTTCACCTTTAAATCGAAATGGGGCAAATACAAAAAAAAAATTAAAAAAAGCGAGTCCGACATTTTGTGCACCTTTTGTAGGGGCATTTATCTTGATCTATCAGATTTGAAAAAATTAACATTTGCTAGTGAAAAGACGTTCCGACTCGACAAAATTGGAGTTTTTAGAAAAGTTGCGTCACATCCGGTGCCGATAGAAAACTTGACCGGTAATAAAAATATTGAGAATTTGCACCATGGAGCATATGAACTTTGTTTTATAAAAATCGGGCAATAAATAATCAACCGATAAACTGAATTAGCCAATAGCGGCCAAGAAAAATTATCGAGACAAAAAATGTTTACATTTTTGCTCAAATCAGACGACCCTTTAACCCTGGGTAAAATGCCATAAAAAAATTATTCATTAATAAAAAAGTTTTTTGTCAAAATTTAAATGTTCAAAATTTGGCGCCTAATATCTCCAAAGATTCGTCGAAAATCAAAAATCTAAACTACCGTAGCTATGTGCCCTGTCTCAGGCTATGTCAAAATGTATCCAATCTTAAAATCCGACGATTATTGTTAATATTACTGCAATATTTCAAAAAACGACAACTTTGGCGTTTCGGACATTTCGCATAGTCGCAGAACGTTCGAAATAGCTTTAATCTCTAAGTCACACCCACTTTCCCAGTAAAACCGAAGACATCAAAATGATCCGACAAGTAGTTTCTGAGATATGCTCAAGTGGAAAAAAAAAAAATAATAATAATAAGAATAATCTTAACAAAAACAATAGTGTTTCACACAAGCTACGCAGTGTGAAACCCTAACTAGAACTGTGATGCAGTAATGACGGGTTTCACCGGTGCCACGTTACCCTAAACATATGTCACTTCCGGTACCAATGAAACCATTAAAC